CGCTAGTTTTTGTATTTTTTTAGTAGAGACGGGGGGTTCACCGTGTTAGCCAGGATGGTTCTCGATCTCCGGTGACCGTAGTGATCCTCCCGTCTCGGCCCTCCAAATCCCGTTACTTATTTGTACCTGTTAAAAACTGAGGCCAGGCCGGGTGGTGGCTCAATGCCTGAATCCTAGCATTTGAAGAGCCAAGGCAGGTGGATCACCTGAACGGTCAGGGAGGTTGAGGACCAGCCTGGCTGACATCGGGTGTGAAGCTCCATTGTCTACATTAAAAACAAAAAAATTTACACAAAAAATAGCCCGACATTGGTGCACGTGCCTAATCCCAGCTACTTGGTGATGCTGAGGCAGTCAGAATTGGCTTGTGGAACCCTGGGAGGGCGGAGGGTTGCAGGAGTGCAGATGCGCACACTGCACTCCAGCCTGGCGAACAGGAGCAAGACTATCCAAAAAAAAAAAAAAAAAAAAATCATGGGAAATCCCTGTGCCTAAAAATAGCCCCTTACTATTTTGATGACCTCTTTCATGCACCAAGTGTGTGCATGCTTGGTAGGTGTGTGGTGTTTTCATTAAGATGAACTTAGGCGTGCCATTTTGATTGTGAATATCTTTGGATACACTGTCTTCCCTCTTATCCCTCTACTTCCTGCCAATGTTAACAACCTGAATTATAGTATCTTCCCCCGTGCCTTCATTTCTCCATTGTTGTATATATTTTCTTTTTAAAGGAAGCCCTCCTATGACACTGAAACAGATCCTAGTGAGGGATTGATGAATGTTCTAAAGAAAATTTATGAAGATGGAGATGATGATATGAAGAGAACAATTAATAAAGCCTGGGTGGATCAAGAGGAGAAAGCAGCAAAGGGAGACACGGCAAATTTTGAGACTTTGGAGTCCTTTTGGGCACTGTTGGATGGTGATGTGGAAATACTGATTGTTTCCAGTAAGGAATATTGGTTGAGCTGCATATATAATATTTGAACAGATAGCTATCTTATACTAGGCCTTCAAGTAAAGGGCACGTGAATTTCCTTTCCTACATGGTAGGATTTATTTAATAAAAAACGCTTATAAACACTCTGCACACGTGGTTTTATTAGTACCTTGGTCATTTTGTTCAGGGAAGGGTTATAATTGCATTCTCATGTGAATACTAAAAAGCAAGTCTTCTTGCCCAAATTAAAACGCTACCATTGGATGTATTTGTTTGTTCAGCTAAAGAATTGGAAAAGTATTTGCTTGCCTTATAAATGTTACTGGAATACCAGCTTCCACCATTGTAAAAATTAGAGTAAACTGACCTGAGTTTTGGCATAAAATGCAGATCCGGTATGTGCTTGAAGGTTGCGTGTAGAGCATACTGACCACTTATTACCACCTCTAAGCAACTGTGTTATGCCAGCATTACCAGTGCACTAATTCAATCACAGGTGTTCTATCTAGATTGAAATATGTTTGTCAATGAATATAGAAAGAAACTAAATCTAAACATGACAATAATAACACACATCTTTGTATGGTACCAATTAGTTTTGCCGGTGGATCAGATGGTTTATGAAAGTAATAACCATAAAGCAAAAAATAATCTGGAAGCCCGTCTATTCCTATGCTCAATAAAGTTAAGTTTTTCTTCATTAGACAGTTTTATGATTTATTTGCTAGGAGTATGTCAGAAAATGAGAGCTTCTAGTGTAGGAATTATTCCTATTGCCCCTGGAAGTCAGGACCAGTGCCTGTGATCTCCATTACTATATTTTATTGGAGGTATTAACCAACACAGTTAGATCAGAGGAAAGCAGTTTTGACCAGGCATGGAGGCTGGTGCCCATAATCCCAGCTACTCAGGGAAGGCTAAAGCTGGGGATCCACTTGAACCCAGGAGTTTAAGGCTGCAGTGAGCTATGATCATGGCCATGTACTCCAGCTTGCGGTAACAGGATTGGAGGAGCCTGTTCTCATTTAAAAAAAAAAAAAAGCCATTAGACACACAGGAAAATCCAGAAGGGTTAAACTAAAGCCACAGTATGGGAATTTGGAAAAAGTGGTAGGATATTACAATACAGCAACAGCTTATGTATAGGATAGCTGTAGTAAATACTGAAACACATTATGCTTCTGAAATTGGTGTTTGATATATGAACAGAATAGCAGACACCATGCATATGAAGTGGGCGGGCGCCGGTGGGGCTCAAGTCCTGTAACCTAGCACTGTTGGGAGGGCCGAGACGGGCGGTCACGAGGTCAGGAGATCAAGACCATCCTGGCCTAACACGGTGCAACCCCGTCTCTATTAAGAAATACAAAAAAAAAAAAAAAACTCAGCCGGGCGATGGGTGGCGGCGCCTGTAGTCCCAGTACTCGGAGCTGAGGCCGGAGAATGGCGTGAACGGGGAGGCGGAGCTTGCAGGACTGAGATCGGCCACTGCACTCCAGGCCTGGGGACAGAGCGAGACTCCGTCTCAAAAAAAAAAAAAAAAAAAAAAGTTAGTTACAGAATATGGTAAAAGTGGGATAGATGGTTTTAATGATGGTAGATAAACTGAAAATAGGGCATATAGATACATCCAGGCAGACTGAAGATCTAATTGTAAAAATGAAAGCATATGGGGCGCACTCGCTCTTTGGCCGAGCCCGAGATGGGCGGATCACGAGGTCAGGAGATTGAGACCATCCTGGCTAACACGGTGAAACCCTGTCTCTACTAAAAAATACAAAAAACTAGCCGAGAGAGGTTGTGGGCATCTGTAATCCCAGCTACTCGGGAGGCTGAGGCAGGAGAATGGCGTAAGCCTGGGAGGTGGAGCTTGCAGTGAGCTGAGATCAGGCCACTGCACTCCAGCCTGGGCGATAGAGCGAGACTCTGTCTCAAAAAAAAAAAAAAAATGCATACAAATACTAGAAGAAAATGGGGGGAAACTACATTATATGTTACTTAAAACCTAGAGGAAACAAAATTTGATCAGTTTTAACTACATAAAAATGTTTATAGGACAAGAAAAACCCCACCACAACCCAAAGCAAACAATGTATTGAGAGGATTCCAATAATTAAGAATACTTCATACAAAAAGAAATGTAAATGATCTTTAACCTGTAAAGATGCTTACCTTGTTCAGAAGAGAATAAACCACAGTTTCTTTTTACCTTTCACTGGAAAAAGTTTAAAAACAAATGTATTCAGTGTTGAGGCTGTGGAGAAATAAGGACACATATATGGGAATGGAATGAAAAAGTTAAACTCTGGTTAACACTCAAGAGTATTTAGGTGGGTGCAGTGGCTCACGCCTGTGATCCCAACATTTGGGAGGCCAAGGCGGGCGGATCACTTGAGGTCAGGAGTTTGAGACCATCCTGGCCAACATGGCGAAATCCTGTCTACTGAAAATAAAAAAAACTAGCTGGGCATGGTGGCAGATGCCTGCTACTCGGGAAGCTGAGGGACAAGAATCACTTGAACCTGGGAGGCCAAGGGACGAGAATCACTTGAACCTGGGAGGCTGAGGGACAAGAATCACTTGGACCCGGGAGGCACAGTTTGCAGTGAGCTAAGATTGTGCCACTGCACTCCAGCCTGGGTGACAGAGTAAGACTCTTGTCTCAAAAAGAGTATTCGGTAATAAGCATCAGAATTACATATGCATTTATCCTCTGACTCAGAATTTTAACTTCTTTCTGGGCTCTGAGAGGTATGCATTTACAAAAATTTGGAATGCTATATGCAAAAGATCAGAAATACCCAAGTGTATTAAACAGGAAAGTATTACGGTTCATCCACATGAGGGAGTCACAAAACAATGAAGATTTCTGTATAATGTAAAACGGTCACCAGGATAGAGTAAGGGGAAAAGCAAAGTGCGGAACATTTATGGTATACCCACTGGGTTTGTGTAAGAAAGGGTGAGAAATGCGAATGTATGCACATAGGTGTATCTGCTTATGTTTCAAAAAGAAACTCGGGTAAACCCAAAGCTAATAAAAATTGTTAGCAGGGGAAGGAAGGAGATGAGGATGAAAGCTAGTCTGTGAATGTAACTTTTTCTAGAGTTTTGACGTTAGAACCATCTAAAATTTAACATGATTGATAAAGTAAAAAATGACCCTAAACCCACCAACACATTGTCTTAGTCTATTCCTGCTGCTGTAACAAAATGCCACAGACTAAGAATTCATAAATAATATTTATTTCTTGCACTTCTGGAAGCTGGGGAAGTCTAAGATTTGGCACCAGTAGATTGGTGTCTGGTAAGGGCTTGCTTTCTGCTTCCAGTATGGTGCCTTCTTGCAGTATCGGAAGGGTAAAAGGGACAAACTCTCCCTCAAGCCCTCTTAGAAAGGCACTGATCCCATCCATGAGTGTGGAGCCATCCTGGCCTAATCACCCCCTAAGGGCCCCACCTCTTAATAATGTCAATGCATTGTGGATTAGATAGCCATGTGAATTTTAGAAGTACACAAATGTTCAAACTACAGCATGTATATACATCAAGTTGGCAGTACAAACTACTTTCAAATAACTAGAACACAAGTGTTCGCCCATTGGTAGTGAGATGGATTCTAAGGACAAAAAAACCACAAGTGAATCTAAAACTATAATCACTAGTGTTAGCAGTAAAATTATATTGAAACTTTCAATATAATTTATGATAAAGGTAAACAGGCTGATGTCATTAGGAGCTAAGATTTTTGTATTTGTATTAAATACATTCTAAAATCAATAAAAACTCACCCTTTTTTTTTTTTTTTTTTTTTTGAGACGGGGTCTTGCTCTTTTGCCCAGGCTGGGGTGCAGTGGTGCAATATCAGCTCACTGCAACCTCTGCCTCCCAGGTTCAAGGGGATTCTCCAGCCTCAGCCTCCCGAGGAGCTGGGACTATAGGTGTGTGCCACCACACCCAGCTAATTTTTGTATTTTTTGGTAGAGACAGGGTTTCACCATGTTGGCCAGGCTGGGTCTCAAACTCCTGACCTCAAATGATCCACCCGCCTCAACCTCCCAAGGTGCTGGGATTATAGGCGTGAGCCACCGCACCCGGTCTATTTTTACCTTTTAAAAAAAGACTTGCCTAGGTAGGCCCGCTGAAAGGACCTAAATGCAATGATGATAATAGCCATCAGCACTGCCTAGTGCTCAGTGTGGTCTCTAAACACTATTTCCTACAAAAAGGTCCACGAACCCTTGGAAAAAGTGTCTGAGGCAGGAAATGCACAAAGTAGACCTGGGTTAGCTTATGTCAGAAAGCAAGGAAATACTGAATAATTCTGTACCAATTCAGTAGGATACAGTAAACAACTTAAGGGGCTCCCACTGGTAATGGGACAATTTGAGCATCAAGAAATAATGAATGGAATAGATTGAAACAATATACACAAAATTTGCAAGTTCACTACAGTGAAAAATAAATGATTGTTACCATTTTCATTGGCTAGAGCACCAACTCATTTACTCTAAAAATTGTTAAAGAATCATGCATTTATCTTGAAGAAATATATTTCAGGAAAATAAATTGCTGATAAGGAAAAGTTCTTGACAGAAAAATTCTAGCCAATACAGAAAAATTATGGAATTAGAAAACTACAATTGCAAACCTTAATAAAACAACAGATCAGAGTAACAATCACCAATGAAAAGCAAAAACTGCTTGCTTCAGCAGCACATATATTAAAATTGAATGATACAGAGATTAGCATGGCCCCTGTGCAAGGATGACATGCAAATTTGTGAAGTATATTAAAATGCTGTAAAACAAAAAAAAGCAAAAACCATTGAGTGGCAGGTTAATGAATGGTTAACTTCAAATGCAGGGACCAGGCTGATCCCACCTGAACCTACTGGTCAAGCAGCATTCAAAGTTGGACAGACAGATAACGTGCCTTCTGGTGTAACAGTACACAGCACTGCTGATGAAAATTCATCTCCAAAACACGGAGCCTGAATCTAGGCCAGTCTCAATGTAACTACCAGTTTATAGGGAATTTGGGTGA